TTCAGAACAAAGCGCGCGGCCTGATTTTGAATTTTCGTCTAGTTTATTTATAAGGAAGTCGTGATAAGGGTTCCACACGACGCACGCGTAATCAAGGATCGTTTTTGCCCAAGAAAAATAGTGTTTATTTAACGTTTCTTGATGCGGACCTAAGATTTCGTCGGATAATATAAAACATTTTACTAGCCTTTCCGATTGTACGTTCTATGTGGCTGTTCCATTTTAGGGAATCTACGAATAGCACTTCTAGGTAAACATATTCGAACACAGTGCATAAAGCGGTACCGGTAGCTTTGAAAATTGTTCAGCTTGCTTCTCGAGAAACGAATATGTTTGCATTTACTTAGATTTAGGCTCATTTTCCATTGATTGCACCAAGAAGATAAAATGTTGATGTCGGTTTGTAATAGGGCAAGGTCGTCTGACGTGTTTATTTCCCTGTATACTACGCAGTCATCGGCGAACAGTTTGATGTTAGACTGTTCATTTTCGGTGATGTCATTTATGTATATGAGAAAAAGCAAAGGCCTATAAGGCACTCCCTTGCGGCACACCCGACGTAACCCGAGTCGATTTGGATATAGTAGCGTTTAGGACAACACGATGCTCTCGACGTTCTGAATAATTTCGTATCCAGTTCAGGACGTTTGGATCTATGTTTAGCAAAGCCAATTAATACAATAATAACTGATGTGCCACCGTGTCAAATGCCTTGCGAACGTTTAAAAACACTCAGTCGACATATTTCCTGCTATTTATAATGATCTGGATGTCTGATGATAAAATTCTACCAGCTGTGTGTTGCAAGAGTAACCGCTTCGAAAACCATGCTGTAAGGGGGAAAATAAGTTTGTCAAATCCAGGAACGAGTAAAGGTTACTATAAATAATATGTTAAAACAACTTGCACGACGTTAATATCGACGTTAATAAAATAGGGCGATAATTTTCAACACTGGATTTAGACCCGAATTTAAAAACAGGTGTGACGTTTGCCATCTTCCTATCCATTGGAACCATCGCTGCGTTTGAAGATTCGTTGAATATAACAAAAAGATAACGCGCTACAACGGCCTTGGTTGCACCGATTCCGCGCAGTAACTTAACGATACCGTTCATGTCAACTGTAATGCAGGAATTACGCTTTGCCGTGTTCGGTAAGCCACTGGAGATCTGCACACAGACCTCACGTCTGTTCGGAGCCTTATTTGCTTCGCACATCTATGTGCTTCGAACATGCCTGCGGGCATATTTTGCATGGTCGATATGACAGGACCGTTGGAAGAAATCTGCCTCATACAGTGTCTACAGCCTGTATTTCGTACGAGGTATTAGCAATGTAACCGCGGTTCGGCGATTTCCGCCACGACACTGATTAGTCGCGAACGCGAACCAGGCCGAATAGCCGCCGACGCACCGGCACATCTGGTCGTCACAATTTGTCTGCTTCTGCGAGAAAGCACATGCAGCTGCAAGTCTGCCGAGGTCATCTTCACAAGCATGCTGGACGTCAAAGTCAAATTAGTCGTTAGTTGATTTATACAGCCGGAGGTTAGTCTGCCAGAACATGGCGACATTGTTACCTACTGTAGATAAGCAATAGACCTATTGCTATATTACCCAAGCATTAAGGAGGATGCAGGGATTGGTGTTCCACGCGCCGCACGTGCTGACCTCAGCAGTAGTAACTATTCTAAAGCAAATACCGAAAACAGATGGCATCTTGCACGCGCGTTCGTCAACGCTTCATTTTGGTTATTTGGCGCATGGAACACCAATCCCTGCATTTTCCTTGATGCTTGGGTAATATAGCAAATGGTCTATTTAGCCAGTGCAGTACGACTGGTAGCCCGGGGTCTTTAACGTGCATCACGCAGTAGTGACACACGACCGCACGCCGGTACGATGCTCATCCAGGTCGAAACGGGCAGGGGTGGGGATTGAGCCCAGGGGTGCTATGTTGCGCTTTTTGGACTCCCAGGAGACTAGGGAGAGGGAAGTGACGTCAACGACACAGCAAACGCAGATTGGGTGTTGATTTCGTTTTCTTCTGTCAACATCCAATCTGCGTTTGCTGTGTTGTTGACGTCACTTCCCTCTTCCAAGTCTCCTGGGAGTCCAAAAAGCGCAACATTGCCCCCCAGGATCCTGGGTTCCGCAGCGCGAGCTTTCGCTCCACGAGCTCCGAGTTGGTGTGCGCTAGCCCATTCGGCCACCGATCCCCCTCAGAAAATTACGAGCGAATGACTAAACTCAGAAAACAATAGACCGATCTCACCAGCCAGTTTGACTACGCCACCGCTGCCGCAATGCGTCGAGGAAACTATAGTCTTTCTGTGCGTGCGACAACTTCGCGGGAGCTCTGCGCGTGTGGAGCACGAGAAAGCACGAGCCCTCTCGTGCATTGCCGTTTTCTTTCTGTGAACTAAAGTTATGGCGGCGCCACGCATGCACCGAGCGCTTGGTGAGATCGGTCTATCTGACCTAAAAAAGAAAAGAAAAATGTACAAGCGCTGGAACAACGAGCATGTCGTTTCACCTGCGCCCATCACATTTTTCAGGTGTAATTGCAGGTCATTCGCTTGAATCCTTCCGATGATCGCGACGCTTAGTAACTAAATATGTCGTGTGCTTGTTTAGACAGCCGAAAGTTGTCCGGTATCTCAGCTGTAGACGAAAAATGTCGCCAGTGCAGTACCCTCGCTAGCCTGGAAGTCTTTAGCGTGCATCACGCAGTAGTGATGCACGACCGTACGCCGGTACGATGCTAATTCATATCGAAACGGGCAGGGGTGAAGATTTAGCCCAGGGTCCTCGGGTTCTTTTGCGCGAGCTCTCTCCACGTGCTCTGAGTTGTTTCTTTCACACACTCAGACATTAATCTCTCCTTGCGTGATTGGCTAGTTGCATAATTTGTGGGAACATTAGTTTGTTTTAGAGAGCACCTCGTACTCTCTGGAAAACTATAGATGCGCAAGCATTTTCTGGAGTGTTCAACGAGCCTCCTCTGAAGAGCATCACAAACCAGCTCAGGGTGGTTACAAATACACCGTGGAACACGGAACAGAGGATATGCCAGCCGAACGTCGCAACAGCTTGTTCATATACGTTTGAGTGACCGATGCTTTGGCAGACTTCAGTTCAGTTAACAAGCCTTTTGAGTCGATTATTTCAGCGTACACGAGAAGCCGTCTTTCAACAACCGCGTGAATTATAAAGTGCTTTTCGGCGTCATGCGGATCACAGCCACCCGTCAGTCAGCCGCAATTTCGACTCGCAGCTCCGACGAACCACGCCACGGTACGGAGTGTATATACAGGGAGTTCGCGAGAAACGACAACTCTGTTTTTCGGCCCGGATTAATGAACTATACATTGCGGAATGCTCGAACTCTCTGAGAATATGTAGCTATAGAGGTTGGTATAGAACGCAAAAAGAGTTTGAGAAGATGACGTTGCCTGAATCAAAAGATAATTCAGAAAAACTAAATTTCTCCATAAGCCGACGTCCACCTACGCCTAATATCGTCAAAACAAGAAATGATATTGTGAACGTTTGTGGAATTTGTATCAATAAAAAACTTTTCTGCAAGAAAGTGAATTTTGTTTTCTAATTCTTACTGGAAAGTTTGTTCCACTGACGCTACAGGCGCTTACAATGTCATTTTTGTTTTTGTCTGGATGAAATTAGGCTTAGGTGGACGTCGGTTCATAAAGAAAAATAGTTTTTCTCAACTATATTTTGATTCAGGTAACCTCATTATCTCAAATTTCCGCATTCTATCCCAACCTCTAGCGCCACATTCTCACGGAGTTCGAGCATTCTGCGATGCATATCGTTTATTTACCCAGGCCGAAAAACACTTCTCTTTTCTCGGGAACATACTGTCCCAAACGCAGCCGCACCATCATCGGGTTAGTCATGTTTCCGTACGTGGTCTACATTGCTGCACCAATGACAAGCAGAAAAGGCCTAGTGACTTGTGCTTTTGACGCTGTTTGATTGATCCCATTAGCTCGTAGCGTCGACTGCGTGTTTACTTAAGCTGGAACGAAGTATTGTGCCATTCATTGAACAGTGTGCCGACATAACACCACGTGACCGTGATTGGCATTCTCTGTGTGCTGGAGGAAAATAAACTCACAAACCTCTTTTTTAGAGTTTAGACTCCCGGATTTCCGTTTTATTTGAAATGAAGGTTCCTTTGGTTAATCTGACAACGCATTTCGCTAGTTTTGTGTATGACAGGGGGGGGGGGGGGGGGTTATACTTACAAACATAGGTATTTCTCTAAGGACAGTACCATGAATATACGAGCGATTGTAGGGCATAACCTTAGTGCGAACGGAAGTAAAGGTCACCGAAACCCAGTCGCTACTTTAAACGATGCAGTCCTGGCTTAGCAGAGCACTTGCAACCCGTTCGGGCGTGCGGAGTTTTGTAAAGACGCACTCTCCTCGGCACGACTCTGGAGCGCTGTCGTTAGCCGTGTCGCGGCCGACCTTCACCCCGGAACGCCCAACGACGAAGAACAAGGACAGGTCCCAAGACGGAAGCGCCGTTACCCCAGCCGCCACAGAGACTTACCCACCGATCGTCCCAACAGCTGACAGCGTCGCCCAAAATTATGCGCGCCGACTCAGCCAATCAGCCGTCGACTCTGCGCCAAATATCACTACGCGCTTTGCGTACCCGAAGTCGGGGGGACAGCACGGTCACGTGGTGCGAGGTCAACAGCTGACTGGTCCAATGAATGAATGCGCCGCTGTCACTTTAAAGGCCATCGGCAGCGTCTGGCGTCGAAGGCGGCGAACGGTCGACGCCGTTATCGGGCCCGGGACCCGTCAGACGGCTTCCACCAGTTCGTTATAGAGTGGTTGCTTCGCCCCGCGCGGCCGCGGAGCAGAAGACAAGCAAAAGAAACACAATCTGGGAGATTCGTCCGTGCCGCTGCTGCGCTTCCGGATTCCCGCGGCACAAAAGCGTCGTCAGCAGGGCGCGCGGACACAGACACCGAGACCGAGAGGACGCGACGACCCGGGAACATAGGAGCCTTCGCCATCGGGACACGGATTCGCAGCACCAACGAGCGCGACGTTATGAACCGCTATGCGAAGGACCGGTGAGTGCCCACGAAGTCCGGTGCGTCTATTTTCCCGCCGAGTTCTTCGGAGAGCCTATCACTGCAATCTGTCGAGGGCGCTCGATGAATGACGATGCGGATAATATGTTTAGAGTACACATAAGAAAAATATCAGTTCGCTCTTTGACACTTAGTGTCACAGAGCAAACTGGTTTTTTTTTTATGCCTACATGACTAAGCATGACACTTTACGTGCTTACGTCATGCTTAATACCGCAACGTGGATCTATCTTTTTTATTTTTTTTTTCGGGGGGGGGGGGGGGGATTAAGTATATTATCAACCACTTACTTCGCCAAGCTCCGTCCGTAGACTGATTTGCTCTGCGGAAAAGTAGACGTATCGGACTATAGTTCCCAGCTCGTTGCCTCGAGGACACTGGGTAGCGCAAAGCACTTCAGACACTTCAAAGAAAGAAAACAAAATAACGTTATTGTTCCTGTCTTCATGAAGGCAGGAATGAAGGCACGAAGTCGCGCTTCGATGGCAGCTTTCTTGCCTTTTTTGCCTCCACGCGCCGTGTGATATTGCCGAATGCAGAGAAATCGAGTGAGAGACGCTACACTTAACATTTAGGCCGCTTGATGCCGACTGCTTTACTAGAGTAGGACGTGGCTCATTATGACGGCGGTCGTCGGTGCCCGCCAACTATTGAGTGATAGATTTGTTACCAAGGCGTGCAGCGCTCTGTCACTACCTTTTGCGAAGTAAAAAACTTAATAAGGAAAAATTTCAAAAAAAAAAATGGCGTAGCTGCATAAATCAATATACGAACGAACCGATTCCTCTATGTCAGTGCCGGATTAAGGCATTTCGGGGCCCTGGGCTTAGGCTGCTATGAGGCCTCTACCTATGATAATGGTGGGGGTGATGATGGTGGTGGTGGAGGTAACGATGACGACGGGAATATGTATATCTTTTAACTTGTTAAATCTAGATATGTTTCATCGTATGATTATTGTCGAGCCTTGTTTAGATCCGTAGATTCAATGGAATTCAAGTTTTCCTTGCTGTCATTGAGCGGATGCGATTGTTTAGAAGCTACTTCGCAAATAATCAACCCCTCCAGCGATTTACAATATAGTAATTTTGAGATATAAAACTGAAATCAAATAAACATTGCGGAAAATATTAGGGTTTGTCGTTCACATCCAGCTACTTAACTACAAAAGCAACAACAACAACAAAAGACACTAAATTGCTTCCGTTTAAAATGTTGACTCTGCTCATGAATTTGCTTGACTAGAATTACAGCTGGATTCATAGAGTACATGCCCGGCTAAGTTTACACAAATTGGTCGCGATGTCGACTTGTAGCACAGGTGACCCTCTTGCTAACATGTCGAGTGACACCATTAATCACCCATGAATTGAGTTATGCAGCAACCGAGAAGGTACCTGCAAAATTCCCATTCTAATTTCCCTTACCCTAAACTAAATGGCATGCCTCGCAAATCGACAGCTGCCACGAAAATCTAGAGCCCTTATTCTTGTAATTGTTCCAAATCATTGGAAGTGTTTTAACTTCTAGCTAGCCCTCTGTTAGTTAATTACTGGTGTGAACAGTGAAGGGATTGACATAGGCAAGAAAGAAATTTCGGTGTTTGAAGCAGTCTTTTTCGGGATCAAACTACTTCGTAAACGCTCTTGTAATAACTGAACCCTCGTTTCGCCAACAAACACAGACTTCCACATTTAAAGCATAGGAGAAACTGCGTGCGATTCTAAGACATTGACCGCTGTCGTTTGGGCACATGTGCGTTTAAAGAATTTATCATGAGAATCGAGATGTTTTCTTTTTGTATCTACACGCTGTCTTTTTGAATGGGAAAAATGTTTTGCATGAAATTTAGTACTAATCTTGTTCTTTTTAAATGCAGTAATTTAGACATCGGCGGCCATTTTGCTCTGCGACTCAACGTTAAAAATTAAAAGGTTATGCCTCAGAGGTTGGTGAAACTATTGCAGTATTCTTATCAGTCGCTAAAAGGAAGAGTGTTCAGTTGCACTGGCAGACCAGATATCGACTCCAGAGCACTTCCTTGCAGTCATTACCCACCGAAAACTGTTAAGGAGCGCCTTAAGAGCCGGCTCCTTAAAACGCCTCGTCGTTGGTGGCTATAGAGACGGTGTCCGGCAGATTTACGGGCACCTTTTCACTTGGTCCAAACTTATCGTCCTGGAATAAACTCCATATGGATTTTCGCGAAAAGGTTTAAAACAACATGTGTGAACCATCTGCGTTGCTTGCTTAACACTTCCTTAACTTCCTGCCCACAATTGTCCGTAAAACACGCTAGGGGGGCCACAGTACAAAAGAAAGCTCCATAACCGTCCTTCAATCAAGCTCCAATTAAAAAAACAAAAGATCTAACAAGGGGCATGGGAGGCCGTGTTAAATTTTGTTGTTCTGGAACGCTCTTGTACAGCGAGCTCACAAACGCCAGCTGATCTATAGACGGGAACTTTATGGCATCCTTATTTCCTTGTTGAGCAAAAAAGAGAACGAGAAGGCCATTGCGCAAGAGGTCCTTCGGAGTGTTTCTTCTGCTCTCTGCCTAAACTTTCTTTAAAAAAAAAAAAAGACTAACATTTTTAAATTTTCAGGGGACAGCATGGGGCCCCCTGACAGCCTGGGGCCCAGGGCTGCAGCCCCCTTAGCCCGTACCTTAATCCGGCCCTGCTCTATGTAACAGAAAACATGGGGCATCTGTCAGCACTTGCCTTTGATCGGCGCTTGCGGGAACAAAGCTCACCCTGATGCTCCATGCCTGCGCGGTGCATTGAGCGGATCCAAGTGTCGTTTCTTGGGGAAGGAGGCTTTCCCGCAGATATTACGAGCTTTTGCATCGACTTTATTTCTTCTTGCATCGCCCATCCTTCACGAGCTATCCCTGCTTCATTCAGGTTCACACCGGCGAAGTGGGTGGCGTAAGCAATACGGTGAGCAACTGAGGGAGAGGAGGGGATGAGAGCATGCGGTGACGTCAGATCGCCGAGCTCCGATCGGAAGGATTAGTCGGTAGGCGCCATGTCCCAACGTCTGGCGTTCGAATGCCAGACCGTGCGCGAGGAGCCCACGACGTTTTCGTTCGCTCTCTTTGAAGGGGGACGGTGGGCAGACAAGGGCAGGTAGCCTCGGCGTCTACTCACTAATCCCTCCAATCAGAGCACGGCGCCCGGACGTCACTACACGCCGTCATCTCCTCCTCCTGTATTGCTTTCTGTTCCCACGAGTCGCTATCGGACGACGGAAGGGCATCGTGATTTTGTTAGCAATTTGGTGATTACTTCGGCGGGCTCTGTCGGTCTGGCGAGGAAAATTATGATCTTGCATCCTTTGAAGAGTCTGACTCGCATTTTGTGTCAGCTAGTTTAATTCGTCACCACTTTAGTGGCCTCCATTTATACGTAGCAAAAATAGAACCAAAAACCAAACTGGTTTTAATTTTTTCTTTCGGTGGTTCCTTCAAAACACATTTGGTCCAGAAGTTTAGAGGATCACTTGCACGGAGGTTAAAGCGGATATATCTCGCTAGGAGGTACTCGCGGGGGAAAAGATTTGCGACCATCCGTGCATGAAGAGATACACGCTCGTTCTCAGGCGGCCACCGAAACCGAGATGTACGCGGTGCTCAGCTGAGCGAAGGGGGCATGCCCGGCCTTGGGAGAGTCTACCGAGGTTTAGAGGCAGCAGCGTATCCAGGCGAAGCCGCGTGCAACCGTATGTATCGGTGACTTCGCCGGCTGGAGTCTTGGATCTGAACATCGCTTTCCCAGAGGACTGGCCGAGGCTGTTGTTTCGCCAAAGCGCCGCGCGCACGACGGACACACGCACGAGGAAAGCTGGGTCTGCGCTCGTTGTTTGCATCTTTAGCCGTGATCTTTAGTCAGGTGAGAACAGCAATGAGCAGCTTCAGTTGCACCGCCACCAGCGCGAGCCCATCGACGGCACTTCCAAGTCTCGTGCACCTCGAGCGCGCGCGCGCAGTCAAAGCACGGCGGAAGGCGCGGAGCTCACGCCGGAGGCCGGGCTTTCGAAGTCCTGTTGTTCTCATTCTGTCAGTCGCTATAAATGGTGAGCTTTTCAGCGTTCGCGTTTTTGGAAGCGATGGACATGCGCATTCCCGACTGTCGAGATCGGACGCCGGGTTGTGAGATTGCACTCATTGGAACGGTGCATAGGCCAACGTCGAGAGATCAAAGTCAGTTGACACGCTTCCTAGAACGCCCGGCGCCTTTCCGTGGCGCTTCCGCTCGGTGGCGCTTGCTACGCTATTGGCCCACCCTATGGCTAGAAGTGATGGAACCGGGGGGGCGTCGGGTGCACATTGCCTGCGGTAGAAACTGGGTTCATTGTGGTTCTTATAGGGAACATGAGATTTGCGCAAAAAGAGCGTCGTTCGCAAACGGTCCTGTTCCGTACCCAGTGGGAGCGGAGTTACTGGTGGCGCTGATAGCTGCATACACGCTGCCAACGGAGAAGAACCGTTTTGTAACGACGCTCTCCCGTGGAGCTTGTCAACGAACGTTGGCATAAACTTTCCCGTAAAAAGGCTTCTGGCCGATGCCGTTTGGCGTGTCCTCGCGTATATGCGGCACTCGCTTTGCTGGCTTTCTGGAGCGACAAATTCGTGTCTGCTGGGCTGGAAAGATTGCACGCTGCACGCTGTGATTTTGTAAAGATTACAATGGTCTACCCGCCTTTCAAACACAAACACTGATACATAGATCTATCGATCTGAACACACTAACATATATGGCTAGATAAGGCCAGATATATGGTTCGCATAATTTCCGGCATACCAGAGAGAGAGAGAGAAAGAGGGATCCAATCGCTGCAAAGTACGGATGGATCTCGGTGAGTAAGGAAGCTGATAATATGTTAAACCTAAAAGAAATATTTGCTTTGTTACAATGAGCACGACGTCATGCTCAATGCAACAGCGCAGACATTTCTGGTAGGTTTAACGTATATTT